CATCCCAGCGTCCTAGACTTCTACTAAATGCAAAATAGTTATAATACAAGTGTAATAACAACACAAAAAAAAACAGTAATTTATAAAAATACATAGAGAGATTGGTAAATTACCCCTCATAGCATGGAAATGTCAAAAATAAAACGAATGCTGTTCAAATATAAAGATAAACACAGTTTCCTAATTCTTTTGTTACACACTGATAATAATCAACCAGTTATTGCAATTTATATGCAAATACGGAATAATCAAGGCACCCTCCGACGATCTTTGATCAGTTCCTGGAGAAGTTCAACTTCTTCGCGACGTCGCCGATACAATTTGATAAGAAATTGATCAGTTTCAATCTGATTTTTCAGCGCATCACGACGCTGCATCAGCTGCTGTCTTTTTTTCGCCAACTTTGCTAGCTCTCGGTCTTTGGCATCATTCTGGAATATGCACTGGAATCATTCATTAAAAGCCTTGCTAATAGTATATTAAATTTCACTACACAAAAACAGGAAGTACCGCTTATCTACACCTCGTAAATTTGGCTAACATCAGCTGAATAATTAGTCCGTTCCTTCCGCTAGCCAGACTTTTGTAATTTAAGTAAGCGAAGTAACGACTCTCAGATTCGGTGGCAGGCTGACCATTAGGCTATGCAGTACTGGGTCAGGTCAACTAGAATTTTGCCAGCTTTACAGTTAGAGAACCGCCGCTAATTACCAAATTTAAACCTTTCTTCTAGCTAGATTTTTGTTTGTTTAGCCTCATCCTCACCCAAAATTTGGTTCTTCCATAAAAATTTTGGTGCTCCTAGCAGCTAGCAGCGCAGTCCTTCAGTTGTTCTACTGATTCAGAAACACGGACCTGGATGTTATTTTTCACATCTTCATTTGTTGCTTGCTTCGTCCCGACTTTCCTCGTTAATTCGTTAATTTTCCCTTTCAATTCGCTAATTTCATCGCGCAAGCGCTTTCCAGTTTGTTGCGCTGGTCCGTACTGCTGCAATGCTTCACTTACTGATTTGTCACTGTTAGAAAATTATTGAGTTTATTTAATTATGAGTTAATTTTTAAACCCTAATTAAAAAGAATTCTTTAAATCCTTAATTACAGTGCCTCCTTTTTTCATATTTTTTGTGCAATTCCAGCCGTATGGCATTTCAAAAGGGTTTAGAAATGATAATTTTTCAGACAAGGTAGTGATTCCCAACAAAAACACACACCAGTAACATTACGAAACTGCTAAAGCTCTGCTTAAATTAATACAGTTTTGCGATTTCTTTGCTCCCGTCGGGAGCTAGTCACTTCCGGAGACGAAAGAAACATGAACAACCACTGCAGGCTAATCACCAGGTACAGGTCAAAGGGAACCACAGTTGCAGAATCATGTTATTACAAATGCAGCTGATCAAAGTACCAAAGTAAACATTTTTCACGGAAAAACGAGAATTATTTGATTGAAATTTTGTTCCCTGACATTTTGAAAACAAATTTTTTTAGCATTTTTCTATGAAAGGAAAAGGGATTTTGCTAGCTTCATAGATCCACTGACCAGCATACTTTTTCGGAAATTGTCAGCACTGTTGTACAGATTGAATTTAGTTTTAAAAAAATATCGAAACTTCTGCAGTTATAAGTTAATTTCCGAAAAGAACGTTCGCTCTCGTTGTCTTCCGCTTTTACGGTCAGGACCACTTCACTGCGTAAGTCTACCGGACATATTTGATAAAGTAATAATTCTTGAGCTTACTCTGCCTTGGATTCGGGCTTTTCGAAGGCTTTTTTCTTCATCCAAGCGCTTGTTCAAATCAGTACATTCCTGAATACAGGTTTAAAGTCATTGCGATACATAGCTCGAATTTGTTTAATTCTTCAGTAAAGAAAAATTTTGGCCCAGTCACCTACTGTACTGCCCATATGCAGCAGTTTTTCGCTACGAAGAATTTTCACCCTGACTGTGTGCTAAGTGTTTTGAAAAAATGTAAAATTTTTCTTTTCTCCTGTCCATGTACGCATAAAAGTTGTACAGAATGTTCGCGCATTTTGATTTGTTTTGACAATTCTTCAAAGAATAGCTACCTCGTAGTTAATGTAAAAGTGAAAATTTATTCGAATTTGGCAAAAACAAAGCCTGTAATACTTGTCACTCATCGGCTCCAACGCAATGTTAAAAGAATACAAGGAAAGCCGATATGCGGTGGAAGAATCAGCTTGAACGGCTGTATGGAATTATATGAATGAGAGAAGTTCAAAATACAGGAATGGAAAAGCTGCCAGCTGTATCAGTGGTGGGAAATGATGCAGCGATAAAAACAATGGATACTTTAAATATACATAAATAATAAACAGTTAGCGCTAAAATAGACGTGCATCCTCTTCTCCACTTTTGCGAGTATCCGGCCCATCATTCATGCTTTCAAATTTCATCTTTTTGAAAAGTTCCGGGACTTACTCTTATTTTCGGAAAGCTTCGATTACGCCCACAAGCTGCTTTGTAGTCTTTGACCGACGATGAACTACTTTGGGAGCTGTTCCATTTTAACGCATTTTCTCCACCACGTTTACTCATCCACGTAGCACTCTGGAAAGCACGCAGTCAAAAGCTCCACTAACAGTTTTTTTAAATGTATTAGTCAGGCGTGTGCCCGACAGTAAGCCAGATTTACGATACTTTTGCGCAAAACATCCTCCGTTTTCCCACGCTAACACGGCTTAAAAGGAGTTCCCCTGAGATACAGTGATTTTTTCCGGTGTTGAATATCAGTAGGGGATTTAACACTGCTAGGAACTAATGAAGCGCGCAGTTACTGAGCTCCGTTTTCAGGAAGAGAAAAACCTGTTACTTGATAATACCAAGATTTTTGTAAGAGATTCCCGTTGCTACCCATTCCACATATTGCTTAGGAGGATCGAGAATGCGGAGCGGATTTTGAGTTATGCAAACGTTGCTCAAAGGCCTTTTTTAATAAAGCAACATTCTAGGCAATAAGTTTGGTGCTCAACCTTGTTTTTAAATTAACCACTATTTGCAGTTCAAATTTTCGGTAATAATAAGTTTTTTTGAATGATACTGGTATATTTGGATTGCTTTCGCTGTCACTGTCATCCCCATTATTATTGCTCATATCACTGCTATTATTATTGCTGTTATTACTGTTGTTACTATCACTAATACTGTTACTGTGACTCTTATCACATCAATTGTCAACAAAATTAGCTACATTTCCTGTCTAAGTACTGGAAAATTTAAAATGGAACTGAGTTTCTGATAGGAATGATGAAGTTAAGTAGTTTTAAGAATTAAACCAAAGGGATAGGACGGTTTTTCGGACAGCATGTGCAATTTGGTCATGGTGTAGACGAACGAAGGAAAACAGTCGAATTTTTTTATATAAAAATGTGGTCAAACTCCCAAAAAAACTCTAAATTGCTTTGATTTCTCATATCCTGTCTAAATTGCTTTCTTTGTCTAAATTTTTTATTTTTAACAATTGCTATTTCATCGTCATCTTTCTTCACGTCATCGATGCAACCGGTGACCTCTCTGCCATTTTCTGTCCCAAGCAATCCTCATTGTAAATCTCTATAAGCTTGCAAATGGCACCTTAATTCTCACTAGTTTCGTTTACTACATTCGTTTAGGGCTCCTCCGGTACCGCAAACAGTTCTTTTTTTGTACCTGCTGCCTTAAGTTGCAACAATTTAACAACACAATATCAGGAGAAAGCAGACAAAAAAGATAATTACAAGTGTTGTTTCTAACCTTTCTCATCGAATCCTCAAGACAGTTACCGGATTTTCGACTCGGGCTCTCCAAGTTACTCAAGCTGCTCGAATTGCGAAACATGTTTATGCGGTTGCGAGCACTGACATGTGATTGGATTAATGTCAGTTTTATGCATCGCTGATTACGCTATGTCAATATAACG